AGAAGACGTGAAGTCATCCCATTTATCCTTTGAGAAACCCTTGGATGTTAATTTATCCAAGAGCAGGCAATTATATGTTTAGCTTCCAGCAAAAAATAAAAAGAGTTAACAACCGCCCGTCATATTTAGTCATTTTAAAGTTCAGAGTACACTGTTCACTGTACAAAGTGTACAGTACAAAGTTCACTGTGAATTTCAATATGTTAACGGTACTTGAAAAAATCTTGTAACATATTGCCTCATAAAAATCTAGTTAAGGTTGCTCAATATATTCAAATATAAAACTTGAATATACTAAGAAACCTTAACTAGATTTTTCTGAGGCAAAAAGTCTATTTATTCTATATTTTAAAAGCTATATTTATTCAAGTAAATTTAATGTGTAACTGACTAATTTCCCCCAGCATTTTTACCCAGGAACAATTGACCCTTACAGTTTTCAAACTATTTTTTTACACTCGTGTCCTATGTCAGAGCCGTTTTAATTACGAAAGACTCTTGTGAAGTATGGCATGCAACTAAAAAGACTTGATGCCAGTCTCAAGAACTTGGTAAAAACCAGCAGTTCTCACGTAGCCTACATGCGTGACATCATGCGTTTGCAGAGCATTTATCTCTAGAATGTTGAGTTGAGTCTTAATCAATCCCAACCTAATTCCAGATTGACAGTCTCCAGAGCTTTCTGCTGCTTGAGTCTCACTCTTAAATAAGGAACCACAAACTCTGGGCTAATGAGCCTGGCTCGCGACTCCAGAGCTCCAGGGCTAATGGGAGGATATACAGTATCAGAGCATCGTCAGAATAAACTCAAGGGTTTGTACTGCAGTTCATGTCGGCTTGCTCACGCTCATTGCGAATGTGAGTTAAATAAACAAATGGAGTAAATGGAGATTAAATGTTTAGGTTTCCATCATAAGGCAGTGTAATAGAGTCTGTTTATGTTATAGAGCAATCTTTTCCTTTTCAGATTTGGAAAAGTCTGGATTTGGGAAAAATCACTAAAACACTTCATTTTTTTCAACCACAAACGTTTAAAACTTGCTTTACTTTATTAGAATAAAGACAAGTCCTGTTTACTTCAATGAATCGTCTTAGACAGGGTGGATTGTTTGGGAAAATATCACATCCATAAACTATTATGAATATGATTTTACAAGAAGTCTCTGAAGTCATTACTTCAGAAATCATTCTGTTATGTTGAAAACAGTTGTGCAGCTTCATATTTTTGTGGAAACCACAAAACACTGTCATTCAAAAGTTTGGGGTGAGTACTATATATTATTATTATTATTATTATTAATACATTTATTCAAGAAGGATGCATTAAATTGCTCAAAAGTGACAGTAAAGACATTTATAATGTTACAAAAGACTTATATTTCAAATAAACACTGTTCATCTGAACTTTCTATTCTTCAAAGAATCCTGAAAAAATCAGTTCCCATTCAATTATTAAGCAGCAAAAACTAATTTCAACATCAATAACAATAAGAACCATTATTGATAACTGAGCACCAATAATAATTAATACAAACTGAGCAGCAAATCAGCATATTATACTGATTTCTGAAGATCATGTGACACTGAAGACTGGAGGAATGATGCTGGAAATACAGCTGCGCATCACAGAAATAAATTACATTTTAACATAATATAATATATATACATATATTCAACTTGTCTGACTAAAAAACTAATGTAATATATCAAAGGAAAGCACAAGCACACAATCTCTTGTCACTTAAATAATTTATTTACCACTAGAGCACCACAACAGTAATGTGTTACAATACATCATAGTGGGTCAACAATATCAACATCATCATCATCATCATCATCATAGACAACAATAACAATAAACAGCTCTAGTGTGACAATGCTGGTGTCTCCTTCTACTTCCTGTGTCTGCATGAAGTCCACTGGCATTCTTGCCCAAATACAAATAAAATAAGTGTCACCTAAAAATCCTGGGCATGAATGGACGTTGCTCTTTTAATCTGATCTGCCACCAGTTTCTCTCTAACACTGGTTAAGACAAGGACTAGTCAAAAGGGGAACCTCCACCTGGAAGCCACTCACATCATCAGCTCATGTTATCTGGGTGAAGCTATAACTACGAATAAAAACCAACAACAAAAGTTACAAATCAAAAAATGTAGAAATAAAATAGTCAGTGCAATTCTTCGTAACAAAGGATCACTTTCTCTGAGAGAAAACAAAATCACAAATTCAGGAAGACTCTTTGAGATGTGTAGAAACATTTCTCCATGATAAGCGTTATGGATGTCAGCGTCCGCGGCGGCTGCAGTGCATTTGTCAAGCAGGCCTCTGCACACCATGTTTAAAAGGATGAACCGGGGTTACGTCTCTCACTTACGCGACCCGTCCATTATACGTCTGTTCACAATCCTTTCATAATAATCTCTGACTTTACTAAAGCAACTCACTCTTCTCACATCAATAGCTACGTTTACATGCACCCAAATAATCCGCTTATAATTGGATTGGTGGTTCAATCGGACTGAAAAGCCTTCATGCAAATGATTCGACTGAGCTCGATCTGGATGACATTTCAATCTAATTTAAAGGGGTGCTTACATGCTTAGTTTTTGTTTGTAGATTGGATTATTTCAGGTCTACACACCTTATACAATCCAATAAACAGGAAAAAATAAGCATGTAAATGCTTGAATCTGACTATTTTCTCAATCGGATTCAAAAATATGCAAAAATAGTAAGTAATATGCATCAGTGATAGGCCTTACATCATGCAAATATGTATTATGTTTATTTAAATGTTCTGTCTTATGACCTGGTCAGTGGAGGAGACGGAATATTTATTAATATTTGCTATATATATATGCCATGAATGTGGCGACTGGGAACTGCATGTGCGCTAAAGTTTTGTTCGGATTAATGTAATGCACATGTAAACAAATATGCAAACCAGAATCAACATTTAGGGCTCATGTAAACAGAACTTTGAGAATCCGATTCGGACTGGATTCATTCCGATTAGTGCATGTAAACATTCGTATTGCAAACGACCTGCCATCGCCTCAGTCTCTGTACTAGTCTGATGACATCACTTCCTTTCAGCACTGGTGACATCACAGCTTCACCTGCTCTAATAAGGGACCTTGAGGTGATTTCACGAAGTTGCCACTTTTGCATGCTGTATTTCAGCGCAAATACCAGCGTGTTATTTACTAACCACCCATATTCCAGTTCAACCAGGCAAGACATGCTCTGGTATAGCTCTGCGCGGTGAGTACTTAAAAGTCACAGTCATTCTTTTCAGAAACGCCTGCTTTTTATGCAAATTTGTGGCTGTTTGCAGCTGATTCACTGTGAACACTATTTTTTAAGGTGACATAGTTACATGTACGTAACCCTACATTAAAGGGGTCATATGATGCTATTTTAAAGATCATTATTTTGTGTATATTTGGTGTAACAGAATATGCTGACATGCTTTAATGTTCAAAAAACACATTATTTTTCAAATACTGTACATTATTGTAGGTGCTCTATGCCCCGCCTCTCTCAAACGCGTCGTTTTCAACAAAGCCCCCTCCTTCCGACAAGCGCAGTCTGCTCTGATTGGCCAACTGACCCAGTGCATTGTGATTGGCCGAACACCACAAGCACGCGTCGGAAATGTAACGCCCCTTACCATAATCACCAGCTTCAAGCTTTCAAAGTAAATATCAAGACAGTTAATAATGTCGTTAGATTTACCATCAGTTCAATCCCGGAAGGGCAACAGTGTCGCGTGACAGACACAGTGATGATGCAGTACACAAGCTGCGGTTAAGACAGCTGACGTGCTATGATTTCTGACAGACAGTTCACTCTCCTGTGATGTGACCCTGTTCCCCACACACACACACACACAACGTGTTACTCTGCGCTGCGCAAAACGCCGCATTTGAACAGTCAATAGCAAATACTTAAACTAATAACAAAACATACTTACAGTCACTGATTCAGAAGCGCCAGATTGTCATAGCAAAGTCAGAATTGACTCTTTTTTAAATGTATAAACTTCAGAATATGTCGTTTAACGCACTTCCACATATACGTACATAATCGTAAAGACTTCTTGCTTTGCCAGCTCAGTTTCACATGCTGTTAAGTTCTGAAACACAACTAACATCACAAGTATATGTTGCTTTCTCAGGGGCGCACAAAATGTCTTCTCTTTCAGATCAATTCCTGTCATGGTAAAGCAACCGTTTGAAGAGAATCGACATGTTTTTATCCAGCTATCTGCATAATTAAACATTTGGCTTAATGGCACAGACATTTGATGGAAATTCAATTTTTTTCTGCCACAGTGATACAAGAATGCAATGGTTTTTTCAGCATTCGCATCTGCAGTTGCGTACTTTTGTAGAGAATGTTTGCAATGGAACAAAACGTCTTTGGCTGCTTGGAACAACATGACTTGTTGGTCTTGGCCTTTTTTACACCATGTAAGGTGGCTAAACGATGTCTTTCTGAGGCTTGCATGAACCTTTCCGGAATATATCATCTTTCTGTCGCCAACCCTTATGCATAAAAGGCTTTATTTACACCGAACTCGAAGTTCATTTGCGACAACTGTACAGTTTGCGGCAACAGTTTGCCAGAAGTTTCCAGCTCTTCACCAGTATTGGTGAACAATGTAATGGATTTTATATATTACCAAACAAACAATATCCGTAGTTTTGAGGGAAACAAAATGAACGACAACAGCAACAACAAAAAATAAAACAGAAGTGTTTGTTTGAAATAAATGGAACAAGGGATTTTCTCTTCCGCTTGCTTCACAAATAAACACCTATCACGTACTTCCAGTGTTTGCCAAACTCACATCCATAGAGTGATGAGCGGGTGATGTGACACATGTCGACAAGTTCACACATTCAGATGTGTGTTTTTACCTATCATCTTGGTATCATTTGAGAGTTTGTAGGAAATACTCTGCGCAGCATGTGTGATTGGGTTTTAAATACTATGTGTTTGTCTGTGTGAATACGTGTTCCCGGAAACGGAGTTGATCGGTTCCTAGCTGCACTTGCAGGACTTGACAATCATGTTGGAGAGCTGCTCGATTTTGGGGGTTTTTCCGATGTAGTAAAGGATTGTGAGGGGTTCCAGATCCTGAGACACACAGCAAGGAGATGCGGACGCTTCTGGATTGATGGTGTTATAGAGGCCGAGGATCTGAAACAGGACATGCAATGCACTTATTGAAACCATTGTTTAACAAATAGAAACTTTTAAGAAGCTTTCCATCTAGACTTGTACCGACTCCTCCCACAAAATAAAAAGAATGAAATGTCTTACGTTGCTGTGCTGGGTGTCTGCGCTCCACAGATACGGACAGGCTCCCGCACAGAAGTTGGCGTTATAACCTTTGGGTTCGTGGATCCACCTCCAGCCCAGATCCTTCTTGAAGTCGATGTAGAGAGAGCGTAAACAGCAGTTGTCCTGCACATTCCTGCGGGATGATGGGAGACAAACGCAGCTGATGTTCAACCCGATGGCTTGAGGGCCTGAGAAGTTTGACATGCAACTTTCTTCGTTGGTACATTTTTGGTACACTTTCAAACTACAGTATATGCACATAAACCTTCATACTCTTATTATTGGTGATTAATATATATTATGACGATTAAAATGAGAAAAAGCCAGTTTCGGTCTCAGAAAGAACTGCAGTGGCCTTCTCTAGCTCTATGCATATATTCCCATTTTAATTAATTGTTAAAATACGATTTAACATCACTGAACCAGTTTACAGTATAAACATTCATTTGTACAAACAAACCCAAATTTTAAGGAATAAATCAGGTAGAAATAGCTCTTTAAGCTAGCAATTGCAAGTTACCACTTTTTGCAGTGCAGTTTTACATGTACGCACATTTTCTACCATTGGATCCCTTAGTAAACATTGCTTAAGTAGAATATTTTGGTCTGTAAATGCAATTCACCCTTTGCCGGGAGTTTGATTGACAGGCGATCTGACAAATCATAACACAGAATCTGTCATTTTGTCTGACAAATAAACCGGACAGGAGAGTCGATTAACTTATACTGTACTGACGTCTTTCTGCGATTAAACAAGACACCTTCTGTGGCACTCCAGCGATCATAAAAGAGCCACAAAATGGTATTTATTGTTGGAATTTCTTAAAAAATAACGAAATTTGAAAGCTGAAAAGCTTTGTTTCATACCGAAAGTAACCTGCTTGTCCTCTTTGCTCCACCATGTATTATTCAATGCGTGAGAACATGATGTGAGCCGTGAGAGAGCCATGGCTTGTCGGACGTAGCAACAGTAACTAAGCGGGGCAGTTCTTTGCGAATGGTCAATTGTAGCATGTGCAACATTCAGAAAATAATTAGGCTAGTAATGCCTTCAAATTTCATTTCAATTCTTCACTTTGAAATTAAATTGGAATTAGATAAAAAATGTACAACTGCTCTCTCTCTCTCTCCCTCTCTACAGTATATACAGTATATATATATATATGTGTGTGTGTGTGGGTTAATATAGCATTTGATTTTTCAGCATGAATTACCATTAAATGTGTGAACATATGAAGTATTTGAGGAACAGATTATGTTAATAATCAACGTTCGAAATGCCAACTATAACAAATTTGTATATAGATCTAATTTTATAAATATACAATTAAGTCACAACATAAAACTAATAATTTCGCACAATAGTAATTGTGCGAAAATTCCGCTTTATTAATCGAAACTCTGTAAATCATACTTTGTGTGAAAATAATTTAATGTCAGAGTCAGAGTTTTGTGTCAGAGTTTTACTGCCTCTAGTGTTCATTTCTTTTGGAAACGGCAGTGATATGTACTTATTGGTATGTATTAAGTGCCTCCAGGTACGTTTTTGCCATGAGACCGGGTAGGTTAATTCAGTTCTAATTATGACTAAAATAAATCTAAGCATTTATATGCATTTTAAATATTGCACTACACAGATTTTTGACCAGTTAAAGGCTCCCTAGAATGAAAATGTCCCTGCCTCTTATATAATATATCGGTTACACTTTACTTGAAGGGGTGTGCATAAGACTGACATGACACCTTCATAATCATGACATGACACCTATATAATCATGACATGACACATGTCATGAATAAGAAGGTTTTGTATGCATGTTTATGACAACTGCCATTAAGTGTCATTCGCTCAGTTATGTAATTTTTAATGCAAAGATGACATTGTTTGAGTTGTCTTTGTTATGTGCTATGATTAGGGGTAAGGGTAGGGGTAGGGTTAGGTTAGGGTTAGGTCAAATAATGTCATATTTGCATTAAAAATGACATAACTGAGTGAATGACACTTAATGACAGTTGTCATAAACATGCATAAAACCTCCTTCATATTCATGACATGTGTCATGTCATGATTATGAATGTGTCATGTCAGTCTTATGCACACCCCTTCAAGTAAAGTGTTACCAATATATCTTTCATCTGAACATAGCAAATCATGGTTCACAGCTGTGATGTGGTTAATGTCTAATGGCTATAAACCAAAAAACGAAAAAAAAGAAAAAAGGGATGAATCCTTCGAGACATCCCACCCAAACCTTCTATTGCAATAGGAAATTTGTCGACACAGTAAAAAAAAACTAAAAACCGGCTCCATCAGGTGATTTCTTAAAATCCTGAATTCTGGCCAACGCTGCTAATCAGATCAGTCCATTCTTCACTGAACCCATTTTCAATGTCGATTTTTGATTTTACGATTTGGAGAATAATGTCTGCTAGTTTCTCAGCGTGTTAATACTGGATGTTTTCATGGAATCTGACATATCAGGAAATATAAAATGAACAGCACACTGGTATAATGTGAGAAAAAAACGTGATCGTGACAGCAACAGTCTGGACGAGCGAGAATACAGATGACTTTTATTAAAAGACAATCGAGCCACATTTAGCTTTAATCCAACAGTGAAACCTTTTCCAGTTAATTGATTAAGTTAAGTCTGGATTGATAGGTGGTCCGGTCTGCTTTGAGATGCGGCCCGCCGATTACATAATCCTGGACTGAAGTCTGGCTGTTTTTAACTAATGACAGATGAGTATCTATAGAGACAGCAGAAGCACTGTGCTGTGGTGAACATTCTGCTGCGGTTCAGGACAACTCAGTTTGTGAGGAGGTGGTACCTGGAGCAGAAGGCCGCGTCCAGAGCGCGTTTCTGTCTGTGGCTCTTGTGCTGCGACTCCAGCCGGTATGACGGGAGCAGCATCAGCAGCAGGTGTGGAGACTGACCGCTGTGACGCCGCTTTTTAAACATCTTCAGATCCCCTCCGTGCACAAAGCTGTCATCTATACCTGTGAACCGCGCAGAAACCAGACAATGTGTTAGACTGCTTTTAGCAACAAAGACATTTATGTAGCTCAAACAGTAGAGCGGTACAGCAAGGTCATACGCTAAAAAAATTGTTTTGAAATTTTTAACGAAATCTTTGAAATTTTACCGGACTCACAAACGAACAGACTCGCACCCCCACCCAAAGCCACCTGCAAAGCGCGCCTCCAGCTCCTCGCTCTTGTTGGGGATGATGTAATTATTTGAAGGCACAAATGTGCAGCAGGGACAGTGCAGGCTGATCTTGAATCCATTGTTTCTGTCTGGTGGGAGAGAAAAACAGTGAGAAACACACACATGCACAGCAAGGTCAGATAATCTACAGCAGATAAATGAGCTCATCTCTGGATCTGGCCCCTGATGTAGATCTAGCCCACTCCCATCATCCCTCAGGAGGTACACACAGCGTCACTGCCGTCTCTCAGCTCCAGCATTCATCACAGCCACTCTAATAACACTGAAGATCTCCCGCTGCAGCCTGAGCTCTATCGCTCTCCTGCGTAAAGTGATGGGCTCGTGCTGTTATGAGCTCATGTATGCCGGCGATGATCCTTCATCATTGCTTTTGCTCTGGCCTGTTATTACTGCTATTCTTGTGCACTTTGAAAAGCCATGGTGAAAACTCCCGCAACTTTCCGTGCATGAAGGATTTGAATCCATTACATCTACAATGCTGTGCAGATGCTTCACAACCACTTATCTCTTTTGATTTAGCGTGTCAGTAGGAACTATACTTGCCAAATATACTTTGAATATTTTTCAGTGTAAACTGAATGTAATATTGCATGTTATTTACAATTAAATAGAAATGTATTGCAGTTTACATGTATATTAAACGTAATTAGTTGAACTTAAAAGTTCTTTTTTGACCCACTTAAGTAGGTCCTAAGTCCATCTTTATATGTAATTTCAAAAATCATTCTATTGTCTTTGAAATATCAAAGTGTACTGAATGTACTGACAAGCATTTATGCTTAACTAAAATATACTTTAAAGCAGTATAATGTTAGTATCTTTGAGAAACTATTATATTTTTTATATTTTCTGCTTTTGTTCATTTTACTTAATGTCATTTTTATTTTTATTTTTTTCTCAATTCAGTTAATAATAATAAAATAAGTTCAAAGGTCCCCCCCCCCCTCTTCTTTCTTTTTATTTCATTTCGGTTAACATTTATTTCAAGAAATGAAAATGTTTTGTTATGTTTTAGTTTTACTTAACCCTGTTTTAATGTTATTTACATGACTTATATTGTCTTAGAAATACGCTGAAATTGTACTGCTGAATGTACTGATGAGCATTTCCATGGAAACGTGTGTTTAAATAAATTTATAGTTACACATTTGTAACAAAGTTGCAATTTAGTACATTGAAAAAATATTCACTTTAAAAATGATATCAAATAACACACTGCGGTTAAATTATAATCGAGTACATTACATCTGCGTTAGTATGTTAATCGACACATAAAAAAGGGTACTTAAAAGCATGACAATAGATTATTAAAACATGAATTAAAATGCATTTTAAATATTTTTTTTAAATTTGCCATTATTACAAAGTGCACTTTTTTAAGTGTGTTATGAACCTTAGATATAGTCAGTACACTTTAATTAACATTATATTATCTTAAAAATATACTTTTAAGATTTGAACTACAAGTGCACAGTTAAGTACACTTATTTTTACACACATCCATGAGTAGAAGATGACTCAGGAGTATTTTTGATCCATTCTCCCATAAGAGAAAGCTTGTAAATTTGAAAAGTGTATAGTATACCTGCTAAAAGTAATGCTTTTGTCAATGTTGTGGACATGGACTAAAAGCCATCGATCTTCAATTTGGATTCTTTAAGCTGATTTTAGTTGGATTTCCCAGTAGGACTGATATATAAATGATCTATAAACACTAAACTGGCTTCCACAATCTCCCGCTCCTTTACCTCTGTGCAGCAGCCACTCGCTGACGGCCTCCGTCACATCAAATGACAGCCACTCGCCCTCCGTACGGGTGCGCACCACCTTGCTGTCAATGTAGCGCTGCGTGGGTGACGTGAGGTCTTTATGACCTAAAATCTACAGAAACAGGAAAGGCATCAGCATGGGTCAACCACAGAGCGCAAACACCATCATGGACGTGCCAGTTCAGCCCGTATAAAGCGGCACCCTGTCAACAGCAGTTCCCTTCCTCCCATTGGAAGCTCCCTGATTGATTAGCCAGGTCTGGGAAACAGATGCTGGACAGGGTGCACTGTTATTCCTCTGTCCTTCGTGGCTGCGTGTTTACGTTGGACAGCACAGCTCTAATGCGTAAAACACTGCTTCAGCTGCGATGCTGCAACAGCTCAGCTTCCTTCCATCAGGCCACGGAGGTGAACGTGGGATGGAGAGGCTCAGACGGAGGCCAAAAATGAGATTGTTAATTGTAGAGTTGTTAGACTGGAGCTACAAGGGTCTGCTGTCGCTTTTGGGCCACTTTGGAGTCTAGTTACACAACTGCTGATATGGAGATAAATCTCCACGCTGAATGGTAAAAACACTTGATTGATTTAACAGCTGCTGAATTCCCAAGTGGTGCAGCAGGCGCAATGATATTACGCAGAGCCTGAAAATAGTCCCCAGCTAGGTAACTTCCAATAAGTCTATTTTCAGGCGCTGCGTAATATCATTCCTTGATTATTACGCCGGAATGAGAGTATAGTTCCTAGCCATATCGGCCTAGAAAATCGCAACTTTGAATTTTCCGTCGGTCTTAGTACACGACGTAACTACAGAAGAGTCAAGTTTTAAATAGGAAAAATATAGAAACTCGTTGGTCATTTTTGAGCGAGATGCTAACGGTCTAATCAGATTCAATGATCTATGCTAAGCTAAGCTAAAAGTGCTACCGCCAGACCCGGAGATCGGCTGAACGGATTTGAAGTTGAACTAGTTGAACTAGTTTAACTCTAGGGGAGTTGGAAAATGAGCCTATTTTCAAAAATAGTGGAGTGTTCCTTTAAAGAACTCCTCTTCTGTGATGAAAACTAAAATATATGTTGAAAAGAAAACTTTATTTAGTAGTTAATCTTGACACGAGCCAAAAATGTCATCCTTATTAAAAGGTTGAAACTGTTGAAAAGAAAACCTTATCAAGAAGTATGGCATCTATTATTGCTATTTCTAGGGAATAAATAAAAACTAAAATAAGCAGTGAAGCAGTTTTGCTAAAATATGTGACCCTGGAGTGGTATATTTGTAGCAATAGCCAAAAATACATTGTATGGGCCACAATTATAGATATTTATTTTATGCAAAAAAACATTAGGATATTAAGTAAAGATCATGTTCCATGAAAATATTTAGTAAATTTCCTACTGTAAATATATCAAAACTTAATTTTTGATTAGTAATATGCATTTCTAAGAACTTCATTTGAACAACTTTAAAGACGATTTTCTCAATGCTTTGATTTTTTTGCACCCTCAGATTCCAGATTTTCAAATAGTTGTATCTCCACCAAATATCATTAACAAACCATGCATCAATGGAAAGCTCATTTATTCAGCTTTCAGATAATGTATAAATCTCAATTTTGAAAAATTGACACTTAAGACTGGTTTTGTGGTCCAGGGTCACATATTGCACTATATTATCAGTACTGAAGTTCACTTTAATTATATCGACTGTATGAACCTGACCAGTTACAACAGGATCTTCAACATGAGTAATACAAATGGAAGCCGATCAACCTCTCCCTTCCCTGCAAACTCCTTTTAAACCCTCCCTAAGACATTCACCATCTCTGTGTTAGTGGGCCAGTGTTTACTGCACCTGTCATGACGGACCGGACACATGAACAGAGAGGAGGGGAGCGAGGTTAAACGGAGAGGCAGGTGGGAGGAGGGGAGCGCGGACCTCGACAGCGCTGGGATTTTATTTAGCCCTCGAGACCCTCCGAACTCTAAATCACCAAACAGCATTCCACGCTCACGACTCTCCACACACACATAAAACCCCGCTGATCGATGGGCCCGAGCCCTACAGCACCCTTAAGATAAATAAACGAACATACGAGGACAGAGAAGGAGGAGAAGAGAAGTTAAAAAGTGCATGTGTGGGCGCTTTCACACCGCGTACACAAGTCTGATTGACGTCACAGTTTGGTTTGTTCGGTTGGTGTGAAGACGGTTTTCTGAACTTGAGTGCGTATTAGTGAACCACAACTGAGTCCAAGTGGCCTGGGTTACTTTAGTAGTTAAATCTGGTATTGTTTGCAGAAACCTTCATAGTTCAGAAGACTATAAACCCTTGTGTTGTGTTCCAGTCATCTTTTCCTGAAAATGCTAGCTAATGATATCGCATTGCACTAAAACTTACTGACTTACTGAATCGACCCTCAGAGCTCGGTAGATTATTTACAGATTACTGATTACAGATTACATGATGAAAACTGTAATGTTAGTAACGTAATCTAGATTAATAATTTTAGGCAATGTACTCTGACTACTACTTAGATTACTTTTAGATTACTTTTTATTGAACCTGTTTTAAATTTACCATTAAACATACCATTTTGATATAAAAAAGCAAAGAGAAAGAAAATATATTCCAATGCATTAACATTTGATTAAACCGGGGTTTCTCAAACTGGGTTTAACATAAGAACAGTGGGTTTGTGAAGTTGATAAAAAGCTAATAATGAATTAAATCATAAAAAATGTAAAATAAAACTAATCTAAATATTTGATTTGTGTACATAACGTGGCCATTAACCAACATCACAGAACTGTAAACATGTGAATGTGTTGTTAAATTATTTGAAATATTAACTTCAGAGATATTTCAAGTAAATATTTTATTTTGAGGGGTTTGGCTTACAAAAACGTTTGGGAATCCCTGCATTACATGAACAAACATTAATAACATGAAGACAGCAATGACATTACACTAGAGGTCTGCGCGGGACTGTTTTTTTAGTCCCGCTCCCGCAAGGTTATATTCCGCACCCACCTGCTCCCGCTATATATATTCACTCTTTATTCACCCGCTGTCCGATTAGAATCATTTTCTTCCCGACCCGACCGTTCCCGCTAAATTTAGATCTCGTTTCCAGAATTTTCCTGCTTCAACACTAACTGCGGTTACTGAAACCACGCCTTCTTTCTTTGCGTGCACATTTGGGCGCATTATGCTAATATTTCCACATAGTGAGGTAGATATGTGGGGGCGTGTTAGAACGAGCCGTTTTAGGGGGGCGTGGCAGAGTCTTAACTTTGATAAAGAATATCTCTTTGGTTTTGAGACTTTAGTCTTTGCAACTTCAGGGATCTTATCTATGCACAATCAGCTTGTAACACTCCAAAGAGAAAGGAAAACTTGAAATCGCATCATATGACCCCTTTAATATTTTAACGGAAAAAAAGTGTCAGAGAAAATAAAAATGTTGTATAAAAATTGCATTTCTTATTTTTATTCGTCTTGTCAGGATGCAATTCATTTAACATTGACAACACGATAGGGGAAAAGTGTCGCAGAGAGAAAAAAAATAAAAATGTAGGTTGTACAAAAATAGCCTATTAGCTATTTTTATTCGTCTTGTCAAAATACTAAATTCGTTTGACATTTTTCTGTTAACACAGTAAAGTGTAGCAGAGAAAAATACATAAATACGACATCTTTCATTTAAAATGATAAGCAAAATATAAACAAAACCGAGTTGAACGTCCTTCAAGGAAAGCGCATCCACACTTTGCTCCATTCTGCTCTGTCACTCATCGACAACCTGCCTGTTCTGTTGAGGGCCGTATATTTACCACAGGTAGGCTACAGCCTGCTCTGATCATTATGCACATGCAGACCACACAAATAAAATGCGTGACGTTTAAAGCATGCGTGCAGCGCGTGCATAATAGTACTGAGCGCAAGCTGTACCGGTGGTCAATAAGAACAAAGCGCAGATATGCTGTTCTAAATGGACGTCGGGAACGGGATATTGTTAGACCGCACGCTCTCATTCAAAATTACACCAGAGTTACCGAATGCTACGCATTTTATTCAGGAATTTAATCCCGTGGCGCAAAAAATCTGGTCGGGTCCCGCGGTTCGCAGACCTCTACATTACACGACCAAAGTCTTCCAGGTTTGACATAGAGTTTCACAGCTGTACATCAGCTATACAGTGTTTAGTAACTTGCATAACTTTGCCAACATTGTTTTATTATTTTCATAATCAGTCATCAGTCAGTTAACCACCACAGACTTTTTTAAAATTTTTAAATTAACTTTATTCACGCAATATAATACAACTTTAATCTCGTAATTTTGACTTTATTCTATAAATATTCTGGCACTAAAATACTGCCATATTTACTAAAGCTCTCATTCAAAATTACACCAGAGTTACCGAATGCTACGCATTTTATTCGGGAATTTAATCCCGTGGCGCAAAAAATCTGGTCGGGTCCCGCGGTTCGCAGACCTCTACATTACACGACCAAAGTCTTCCAGGTTTGACATAGAGTTTCACAGCTGTACATCAGCTATACAGTGTTTAGTAACTTGCATAACTTTGCCAACATTGTTTTATTATTTTCATAATCAGTCATCAGTCAGTTAACCACCACAGACTTTTTTAAAATTTTTAAATTAACTTTATTCACGCAATATAATACAACTTTAATCTCGTAATTTTGACTTTATTCTATAAATATTCTGGCACTAAAATACTGCCATATTTACTAAATTACTTAATGCAAACACTCTTGGCACGGCGGGCCGAATGAAAGAAAGAAAGAAAGACACAAAAAAAAGACGCAGTTCTACAGCAGCATTATAACAAATGCACACAAGAAATACCAAGCCGTGCACATGACATGCAAAAAAAAATAAAATAAAATATATATATATATATATATATATTTATATTTATTGTGGCCACGAATTGAGAATACATTCTCTCATTTTAATTGAAAGGTCCCCCTTTTGGCGGGCCCTCAATCAGCCGGGCCCCATATGCACGTGCATACCCAGACGCTACGCCCCTGTACTGTAATATGGCTGATTATTACGTAAATTTTGGGAAAATTAAATAAATTAAAAACAACACTGGAACTGGCATGTGGTCCTCTTGAATAATTACCTAGTGCATGGTATTAGCTATTTAAGCTATTTTGAAGACGTAAACATATAAAGCAGTTTGGACCCAAATAGAAAACTGTGAAAAGAGATCTACAAGGAAACCAAGGAAGCGAACTGAGTGTGAAAACAGCTAAAGTGTGCATGCAAGTACCGAGTCGACAGACTTGTTCATGGAGTTGAATGAGTGGATGGAGGGCTGATGGAGAGGAGAGGACTGACCTGGTAAAGCTCAATGCGCTGCTCAGACACACGGGCCTTTGAGTTCTGCAGCCTGAAGATCCTGAGCTCTGCCTTCACCAGGTTCGAGGCGTTCTTCTCTATGGAGCTCACGTCAAACCTGAGCCTCCTGAAGTACGGGTTGTAATGTGTTGGAGAGATGACATCTGGAACAAAGAGTGGGCAGCGTTACTGACCCGCTAGGACACTTTGCATGCGTGGAGGTCCAGTATGTACAGAGAATCCCATCCCTCTGCCAGTCCTGTACACCATTATCTAGTTTGTATATGTAGTAATAGCCCATTGGATGAAGTTTAATGTCAACATGAAGTCTAAACTGGCTCAGCAGGGGAGAAGTTGCAGGAAACTCCTCTTGTGAAAAAGAAGTGCGCATAATCGTACTGAATGTGCACTTGTAGTGTACTTCAAATCTTTAAAGTATATCTTTAAAAAACTGCACTTGCAGAAAATACAATATTAATACAATTAAAATGTGCTTAAAAAGAGACACTTTCATAACACACTTAAGTCCGTTTTTATAACTGACTATTATGCCAGGCAAAGTCTCTCATATAACACTGCAGTGTTTTTCTATATTCAATTTTGAATGCATAAGTAGTGGTGTACTAAGTGAATGTTTGTGAAATGTGTGTGTGTGTGTATGCTACTATGTTTGAGCTGGTTTTCAGGGCACAGCTTAATAGTTGCTAAGGAGTTCTGGGTGGTTGCTAGGGTGTTTTGAATGAGTGATAGTGATGCTTGCCTTAGCTAAAAGCTCTTTAATGGCTCTTAGGTTTAGAAGAATGCTCTTCTTATCAAGAGCAAATTACGGGAGGGTATGTGGGTTTCACCGAGTTCAGTTTCAGGCTGTACAAAATAAACAAACAAGTCATAATCAGTCATTATGAGTGACTTTATTATAAATTTAAATACCACAAGCAAAGTACTGGTCAAAAGTTTTATTTTTGAATTTTTTTTTTAATGTTTGTGAAATTAGTCTCTTCTGCTCACCAAGGCTGCATTTAGTAATTGCATTTATAAATCAGAAAAATGTGTGAAATATTATTACAATTTAAAATATCTCTTTTCTATTTAAATATATGTTAGAATATCATTTATTTCTGTGATGCGCAGCTGAAATTTCAGCATCATTCCTCCAGTCTTCAGTGTCACGTGATCTTCAGAAATCAGTTAACACTGTCATGAGCTGGGTTTGCTTCTCTGTTTCTCTCTCACACACACGGGATTTCACACACACATACATACACTATCATGCAGACACACACACACACACACACTCAGGCACGCCCATGCTCATTCTAGCCCTCATCTCCACCTGTTTGTCATCACGATCAGCGTTCGTGCTGCTTTGCGGTGACACCTGTTCCCACTCTGATCTAATTAGTGACTCTATTTCTAGTGGTTGTGCTTGCTGTTCTCTGTCGGATTATTGTGTGTCATGCATACGGTATTGTTTCGCCCTTCATGTCAATACTATCAGAGATCTTACCATGTCTTGTCTTGCTTAGTGTTGCTGTGCTCGTCTTAGTATTCTCTGTGTCCTGTGGGCTGCTTTCAGTGAGCCCAGCACCACGAGCTCTCTCCAAGACGGGAGTCCTCTGAACCTGACCATCATCGGTTGTTTTGTGTTTCATCCAGTTCTGTGTCATTGTACGACAGACTGCCTTGTTTTGTGTCTTCAACAAAGACCGATTCTAACGGACTGCCTTTGCACGTGGATCCTTTACATCACCCTTGACAAACACTTTATTTTAAGGTGTCCTTGTTACACAAGTTACATGTACTGACTATTGTAATAACAATTAATTATGCATAATTACAAGCAAGTAACCCTAAGCCAAACCCTATTCCTAACCATATAGTAAGTACATGTAGTTAATTAATATTACTCAGTACTTAAATGTATAATTACACTGTAACAAGGACACCTTAAAATAAAGTGTAACCCAAAATTATTCAGTTAAAAGTATGAACATGGTTCAAATATGGCTAGCTGTGAAACAACCAATTTTCAATTGCAATAATGAAATACTGAGATTTAAACTTTATTGATGATACATATATAAACCTGGTTATTGTGTATTTAAAATGCATTCAGTTTATTAGCACCATTACAAAAATCTGACCTGTTTCATTTATGTGCGACTGACGCTCCACATTAAGCTTATTAGTCTGTTTATGTTAAAACTAAATACATTTTTATGCAATTAAAATACATAAATCTTAAATTTAGGCCTCTTTTTTTTGAGTGCAGCTTGTGTGGTTATTTGTTTAAAATTAGCACGTATAACCTGACTTTACAGGCACTTTAATAAGCAAAGCTAACCCTCTCAGCTGGGTTTGTTTTCTTTTTGATCACAAACAATGAAAATATCTCACAAGGGTTTATTATTCCCATCTAAGGAATTTTACTGGCTTACATAAGCTTGTTGATAGCACCTTATTTCCAAGCACACACAAAAAATGATGTAAAATAAAATAATGTAACCATTTTTCAATAAAAAGAGATAACGTTGGAAAAGATTAGTCAGATGTGCTGCTGAAACTGAACTGGCTGAACCCGAAATAAAGCTCCCAAAAAGAGCACTAGCCGTGATGAATGATTCACATCTCGCGCGCACACACACACACACACACACACACACACACACTCACTAACTCTCTCACACATGCACACACACACACACACTCACTAACTCTCTCACACGCGCACACACACACACACACACACACTGACTCTCTCTCTCTCTCACACACACACTAACTCTCTCTCTCTCTCTCTCACACACACACACACACACACACTAACGTCTAGGTTACTTGTGTAACCCTCGTTCCCTGAAGGAGGGAACGGAGACGTTACACACACACACACACACACACACACATTTCTTACACACTAATATTAACAAAGGGCCTTTTTACATTCTCATAAATCACTCGTCAGGTTTGCCATTGCAAACACTTGGACCTTAAACTCAGGAAGACTTCATTATATGCATATGTGCCAGAAAATATGCACAGCGGCTTGATCTCACAAGAGCTTCCTTCCTGAGGGGAAAGACACTACAGTGCTGCACTGTGGCCGCCACCAGTTGTTTAGTTTGCGAAAAATGCTTATCTGATGCTTAAGCACATATTTCAAACATATAAACTTCAACTGGACCTCCGTACGCACATCTGTGAAGACATGACATCATGTTTGTTGTAAGCAGTGTAACCGTGAGCCCTGCCAGTGTATAAGCTGTTTACCCTAACCGGAATATACATCTTGAAGGCATTAAGCAGTTAAATAGACACGGATCCCGGTTACTGATCTGCGCCTCCGAACGCTCACTGATCAAACACCTGTGCCAGGAAATGCCTCCCAGTGTCCTCTGCTCCGCCACTGACCCCAGTCCTACTTCCTGTGTGCTGGATTTCCTCCAGGCTTTAATGAACAGATAGATTAGCGAGCTTGTCTGCTCGATGACACGGCTGTCCGTCCTTCAGTCTCGAAATAACTCCTGTTGCTGACCGGACCGTCTCTCTCTCTCTCTGGATGTGTTTGACAGGGAAGTAGTTAGCGTTTGAATCAAATTGCACAAACACATGAGTGTACACTTTCACCCATTCACTGTCTACATTACAGTAAAACACCCAAATCATCATCCACTACAGATGTTCCAGATTGTGTATCAGAATGAGAGTCCAAACAGCTGATAAAAACATCACAATAATCCACAAGTACTCCACACCACTCCAGTCCATCAGTTAGTGTCTTGTGAAGCCAAAAGCTGTGTGTTTGTAAGAAACAGATCAATCATTAAGATGTTTTTATCTTAATGAATTATCAGTTACTTTGCGTGAACATTTGGGCGGCGTTATGCAAATCTTCCCACACAGTGATGTAGACATGTGGGGGCATGTTAGAACGAGGCGTTTTAGGAGGGGTCGTGGACAAGTCTTAACTTTTATAAAGAATACCTCTTTGGGTTTCAGACTTTAGTCTTTGCAACTTTAGGGATCTTATCTATTCACAAACAGCTTGTAACACTCCAAAGAGAAAGGAAAACTTGAAATCGCATCATATGACCCCTTTAACTCACAGACACGCAGAACAGCTGTTCATATTATTTTCAAAGGTGTATGTTTCAGTTACCGTGGAGACCTATGGCACGGCATGTGGCTTCAATAAAACTATGATATTAAGAGGCTTATTCATGGGGATATATTTGTTTTCTCAGCTTTTACAAGCAGTGAATTATGAGGAAAATATTAAAACGTTCATTCACATTCAAAAGGCTTGATTCTGATTTATGAGTTTGAGAAATTGCCGGATGCAACCGTTCGCAACCTCCGAGTCACTTTTACCATTTGAAAATGGAAACTGAGACCAAATACTGGTAGCACTGTGCTAAAACTCCGGTAAGGAGAGTGGAGGGAAAGTATTTGACCTACTTTAGAGCATTTCTCACTTCTGTAAGACATGCTCTCGGATTCCCCCGTTCCCTCGGCGGGACTATCCCGTGCTCGTCCTGTCCTGGGAGGGTCAGAGAGAGGAAACAGAACAGCGCAGGCTGACCGGAGGCAGTGTGGAGCATGGCGCACAGTAGGCTGCTGCTCAGAAGGGTTTTTACATAACATTTAACATACACAGTAATAGTTACATTAGTTCTAACTTAACTACAAATTCAATAACATGACAGTACTTAAGCTGTTTTCAATACATTATTGCCTTTCCAATAATGAGCTACTTTTTCCATTCAGTGGAGCACAGCGTGTCAAAATGCTACATCGCTGTACTGCGGTAACAATCAAAAACTCTCTTAAAATGCCTTCTCTCTGTCTTAAATGAAAAATGATTTATTGTAGTGAAGTGGTTCATTCAGACGATTCATTAAAATGAACCAGTTAGAAAAAAAAATTCGCTAGTATTCAAAAGTTGCGGTCAGAATGATTTAAATTCTTTTATTGAGCAATGATGCATTAAACTGATCAAAAGTGACATTTAGAATGTTACAAAAGATCTCTATTTCAAATAAATGCTGTTCTTTTGAACATTCCATTCATCCAAGAATCTTGAAAAAATAAATAGTTTCCACAAAAAATATGAAGCAGCACAACTGTTTTCAACATTGATAATAATCAGAAATGTTTCTTGAGC